ATTCACGGATGTATATATCCGGGGAAAAGGTTGTACTTAGTAGGAATGAGTCTTGAAATTCTTCAAAGATAGATATTGAAGATATTGAAGACATTAAACTAAAAGTACTCGAGATCTATCAATACTAGGCTTATGATAAAACTCGTCTTATAATTTCAGTTTCATTTTGTTGAATCAGGATTTCGTCGTATGAATACAGTAGAGACTTCTACAATCAAGTATCCCCAGACATCCAAAATGAGAATTTCTCCATAAAAACTATCAAAAACGTTATGTGCCAAATATAGCATGCTTCCAATCAGACCTTGAAATATTTATTAGATTTTACTTAGAGGCATGGCAGTTCTGAAAGGAATAACCCCGGGGGTTCTAACCATGTATATCGACAAAGTAACCAAAACAGTTTCAACCTGCATAATATTCAAAGGATCATCAGCTTAAGCCTTGATCCAAGGCACCTTCCGAATGTTTGATCCAGCCCCGAGTACCTCTGATACTTTCAAAGTCAAATGGGAATTATTTATGTTTCATCTCCAGGGACCTTTATAACCAAGTTGAAGACTAGCTCTGTATTAACCCCATTCTTCTTGGCCAATGCATTGGATATGATGATTGATTAAGAAAGCTTAAGTTCTCCTCCCTATATCGAGGTATCAGCTGTTCTGCATGTGCTATGTATGACTTCTCCTTATAATTATGGAGGGGGTGTCATTTTGAAAGAAGATCCCTGAATGATAAACATGCTCGACCCTGAAAAGTCATTCAATCGACTCTTCGGGTAACTCTAGCTTCAAAATTATTTTCCGATGCATCGGTACTCACAGTTTTGATTGATGCTCACCCCCATCTTTATTGATCTAGTGTTTCGTTTAAAAGTGCCAAGAATTTAAATAGGTTAGCAGCATGTCATCAGATGAATTAAATTGCACCAAAAGATTTAACCACAGACACGGGAGCTTCTTGTTTATCTCAACACGCATTTTCCAATGTTTGAATAATTATTCCGTTTCGAAGAGTACAGATTTTGGTTGGTGTAGATGAACGTTATTGAAACGGCAACTGCAAATTACACTTTCTTAATCTATTTAAATACTTAGGCTTTCGAGCGGAGTATGATTTCCATAATGAGAATTATAAATTGAATAACAAAGGATGTTATGGAGTATCGGTACAATTGCCAATAGGATTAGCTAGATATTCTAGGGCACAAGGGGGGGATGTAGATTAATAAATCTTGGCATGAATTTCCTTATAAGAAGAATCAATTCGAGCTCTTAAATATTGGAATACTCAATAGTCATTCTATCATCACTTTCATTACTTCAAACTACCAGTCGACACAATGAAGTCGCCCACAATGTTGATTTCATTCATTACTTTAGCTCTCGCCCCTCTCATTGATGCCGCAACTACTGTTTCAGGATCCGCATACGGTTTTGCCAAAGGAGTTTCTGGTGGCGGCTCTGCAGTAGCTGCAGCACCATCTGATATTGCGCAACTCAAATCATGGCTCGCTGACAGTACACCACGTGTAATTCTCATCAATAAGACTTTCAATTTTGTTGGTACCGAAGGGTCAGCTACTGCTACAGGCTGTTATCAATCCGGCTGCAAGCCTGCCAATGGTGGTCAAGACTACATAGGTACCCTCAGTTGCACGGGAACCAATATCGTTTCTACTAGTATTACTTATGATGCGGCCGGACCTACTCCTCTAGATGTTGGTTCCTCGAAAACCATTTTGGGTGTTGGCAGCGCTGGTGTCATTGCTGGTAAGGGACTTAGAATTCCTGCTACTAGTACCAATATCATTATTCAAAATGTTCATTTCACCAACATCAACCCGGGTCATGTTTGGGGTGGAGATGCTATCTCTTTGGAGGGAAGTAGAGGTGTTTGGATTGATCACTGCAAGTTCAGTTTGATTGGAAGACAAATGATTGTTTCTCAGTGAGTAGATATTCTCCTAAATGATTCGTTTCTGAAGTTTACTAAATTTTTACCAGTTTCGCCGCCAGTCAATTTACAATTTCTAATTGTGAATTCTATGGTACCACTACAACCTCAGCCACTTGCAACGCCAATCATTACTGTAAGTTTTCATCCTTTATAGTTCAATTGTTCTCTGGATCTACGTAAAAAGGAAAGGATAGACCAGAAATTTGATAAAAAGAGTTCAAGAACTTTACTGATTTATTCGTTCCGAATCAGGGACTATGATGATCAACGGACCTGGTGATCTTCTCACACTCGACAAAAACTACTGGCACAACTTATCAGGCCGTGCACCAAAGATCAGTGGTTCCGGTGCTGTGGTACAAGTTACCAACAACTACATGGCCAATAACGCTGGTCACGATTTCGAAACTTATGACGGAACGACTTCACTCATCGAAGGAAACGTGCTCGAGGGTGTTACTTTACCTTTTGATGGTACAGCTGGTAACACTTACAATGTTCCAGACTCTGCATCTTCCACTGCTTGTGCAACTTATCTTGGCCGCAATTGTGCTGTAAACACCATCACGAACTCTGGTACTTGGCCCAGTCTTAAAGTCGTAGCGGCCTTGACTAAGTTTAAACAATATGATGCATCTGTGAGTATATTTCATCATCCGTTTCTTCTACTCGCTTGACTCAATTCTATCTAAATTATCTCAATGTTTTTTGGTACGTAAATTTGCTAACCGCCATATTCTAGTACTTGGTCACTCCTACTTCGGCCAGTATTGTCAAGACCAATGTTTTAGCCAATGCAGGTGTTGGAAAGGTCTAAATATAGGAACCAGGAGGATGGCCATTACTCGGAGAGTGAATGAGTTTGAGTCGGATTTTCGTGGTTCAAATCAGATGATCATCTAACTTGATAATTCTTTTCAGTATTTGTAAATATTTTAAGCTTTCTAGTCTATTCCCCTATTCTAGCGGACCGGAAGCCTGCTTTTGGACAATCCATAGTCTTTTCTATTTCATATTATTACAAATTTTTAGAACTTTTGAGATTTGAGATAGGCCTCATCGTATGTGTATGATAATACTTCTAGGATCATGATAATCCTCCATACCTAATTCATAACCAAATGTGTCTAAAATACCAGAAAGAATGACATTACTACGTCTTCATTTTCTCGAGAATCGACGGGTGTCGTTTTAAAGATTCTTGTGATTCTTGTGATTCTTGTTTGCTTCATTTCCCATGACGATATAGACTGAGGTAGTCTTCGTCATTCCACGTCAAGCATGAAATAATCTTAAATTCTTTGCCCACTGGCCTTAATACCCATGAGCCACCGCTTTCATAAGTATGTGATCTATTTCCGATTCCAAAAATGTTCATATTGTTACTTCCTTGATATCCAACTCCCTCAAAAAACGAGCATGTATACCACTAGAATTGTTGGGCAAATATTACGTTCGAGTTGATATACATTAAATTGTTTTGTTTCTAATATTAGTGGTCGACGATGTAGCAAATCTGACATGTCACGCTGACCTGTAGTATAAAATAAAATTGAGTTGACTCATCCGGAAACTGAGAGGTGAAGCCCTACATTCTTTGACTAATTTCAGTATACGAAGTCGAATATCGGTATCATCATTCATTTGTAATCGGAACGAATTTTGAGGAACGTTTGTTTCTAAATCATGCCTCTTTACAGGATGTGGTGGGAGTAGGAAGTGGGAACTAGATTTAAATCGGGACCGTCAGCCCTACAATGACTAATTGGGATTAGCGTTTTTAGTATCATACTTAAAAATATCAACGTGTCCCTCATTGATTCTACTCCATCTTTTCTCTCATTGCACTACACACACACACACACATTCTCTCTCCACCATCGTTCATCCCAATCCAATTCAACTCAACCTCTAAGCCACAAATTTGGTTTCCATCTCGCATCTTATATCATCCCTATATCTTCTTCTCCTTTCATATCACTTTATTCCCTCTTTCACCTCTTCTGCCTTATCTCGTTCTATCTCATCTCATCCCATCCTATCTCCCAGCTTTTCAACCCGCAACTGGGCATTCGTATATATAATCTTATCTCACCTCTTCTCACACCACACTGAAGCCCTCAGAACCCCGAATATTAATGATCCTATTAGCACAACAGAAACTTAAATCTTAACCTCACTCACTCACATCATTCACATCACTCAAATTTAACAACCGAGATACCAAGTTCTGGCTTCCAACTCCATATATTTCTATCTATATATCCATCCCACCACTCCTCACTCCCGCCCCCCTTCCACCATTCAAACAATCAAAAAGTCCCACTAATAGGTACCCAAGTAGACAGAATTCTGGCATTGTATGATATCAAATGTATATAATTATGCATTCTAACATCTTCTTCAATCCTCTACTCTCTCATCTTGTCTCCCCTTTTTTTCTTCCACTATCTCCTTTCTCCATCTCGCACTTAACCCCCTTTCCCACCCGACACACTGCACCCACCGATCCAACCACACCCCCCTTCACACAACCCAAACATCTCAAAACACACAAAAAGGTATCAATCAATCCTCCCAAACTAAAGCAACCTAATGTAAAAAAATAATAAAAATAAACTCAAACTTAAACTCAAAAATGTTAATGCGCATGCATATATATCCTCTCCATACCTACACAATCAACGCTCGCTAATTCGTCACCTCATAATTTTTTGTAATTCTTTCGAAAAAAATGATTTTCCGACATCTTCCCCATCAACTCACTTCCTTCATTCATCTTCCCTTTCATTTCCTATGCAATGTAATGCAAAGAAATGCCGAACCTGAAAAATGCAAAATTGTAGATGCTGTGAAAAAATGTGAGAAGTCCCGATGTATGTTTTTTTGGCCCATTTATCCGTCCATGCATCCTTCTCTTTGTTTTTCTGTTTGTCCGTTTTCCCTTTTCGATCATGCTTCCCGCTCCCCGCTTCCCACTCCCCACATCCCTCGGTATCTCAACAATCTATCAAACAACCACATCTACCGTCATCGGCCGTCTAATACTCAAACCCCTTAGTTTCTCCTCCACTCTCCTTAACACCTCCGGATCCGGCTCCGGTATCACTTTCCGCGGAACAGCTATCATACACATATCACATCTAACATGCTTACACCTTGTACATTCTTGCATGCTAGTTTTTGAATCCGAGGAAGAATGGTGAGGGAATGTTTTATCGCATTTATGACATGCGAATTTTTTGTTTGTGGAGGATGGTTGATCGCCAGGGTAGCCATCGGGGTATTTCTTTTTCTTGGATCTGGTGGGATGGAATTATTAGTTTGAGAGGTTTAGGGGGGTGAGAAAGAAGATGAATGGGGAGTAAAGGGAAAATGAAAAGGGAGAAAGTTTAATCTTCTTTTCGAGCGGAGCGAGCTATGGGGGTTTGGGGGCTTGCCCCCATAATCAATCAATCAATCGATTGAATTGAAATGGAATGGAATGAAATGACGCTCCGCTGGCCCTCCGGGGGCCACTGCCGTGGAGGCAGACTATTTTCATCGACTATTTGAAATAGAGAAACAAAAGCAAAAAAGGGGAAAAGGGGAAAAAGAAAATAAGAATTGAAAAAATAAAACTTACGGATTTCGAGGACAATCAGCACAACGAGTATGAGCACAAGTTGTACAAATTTTATTACCAGCCGTAAAAAGAGTCGAACATTCATGACAAGTTCTTTTAACTCTTTGAGTAGGTTTTTTCCTAACCAAAGGTTGACCACCTACTTTATGACTCGGTAAAGTCATGATTAACTTCTCAGCTTTTTTCCATTCTCTATCAACTTCCACTTTTGTTGGACCTGTACTCGCAACTGCTGTTTTTCCTTTCTCCTTTTTCTTCAAAGGAAATCTGGGACATTTTGTACATCTTGGATGTTCGCAATTGGTACAGATTTTATTGGCACCATATGTTGTATCACATTTATGGCAAGTTCTATGAATTCTCATTCGAATAGGTTTTTCGATCCTCCAAACATCTTTCTCTCCAGTAAGACTTTGCCATTCATGTGGTTCGATTTGTAATTGAAAACGTTCAGCTAATTTTCGAGCTCTTTCAGCATTAATTTCTGCTCGAGATACTTTTGTTGGTTGAGGTTGAGGTTGAAGTTGAGGTTGAGATTTAGATTTAGATTGTTGTTGTTTTGTTGCGCTAGGAGTAGTGGTTTTGGTAGTGGTAGTGGTAGTTTGTTTCGTTTCGACGACAGCGGGAATGGAAGCGGGTATTTCCTTAGATGGTTCTGGCGTTGGTGTTGATATGGGCTTTGATTTTGATGTTTGATCAGTGGATTTAGGGACACTAAGAAATTTATAAGTTATTAATAAATGTGAACTTCATTCTTCATTCTTCAATCCTCAATTCTTAAACTTCAAACCCAAAACCATACGTGGACATGGTGATAAGAAAAGAATAAAAAGAATATATATTGAAATATTGAAATATTCATGGCTTACCTTGGACCTCCTGTTGTACCGGTAGTTGAAGACTTTCCAACAAATGATAATCTTTTTGATCCATCACCTCTTTTTAAAACTGTCTTCATTCGTCCTAAAACACGACTTAATCCTTTCTTTTTATCATCATTTGATGTTGTAGGAACTGTAGAGACTGCCGGTGCTCTCGGTGCTCCTTGCGCTGAAGAACTCATTGTTGCGGGGTCCTATTTGTGAGATATATTCCGTAATCCGTAATCCGTAATCCGTAATCTGTGGTCTGTAGTCCGTACGTAGTCTGTAGTTAATGTCGATCTGTCGAAATTTGTTCTTGGATTTATTGAAATTAATTCGTTAAAGATTGAACGGATAGATCTGATTGAATCAATATTGAGGAGTGTATGTCGAAGAAAATCCCCGGAAACCCCAGAAACCCAATACTCAAAGTAAAACTCGAAACTCTTCCCCCCAAGAATTTCCTTCGCCTTCTGACAAAAGTGGCGTATTAATCTCCTTATGGAATAAAAATAAACCCCCTTTCGATTGTTTGGGTGTGAAGTGTCACTACGATTAAACTTCAATCGATCGTCTGCCTCGTGCGTTTCGGAACCAATGTACCGGTATACAGGGAAATGGACGATAATTATATGTTGTGTCTTCCCAAAACTATTATGTAAAAGGAGTTGAAAGGTTGTATCGAGTGATTGGTGTGGTAATCAATTGTCTTGAATAATTGTATGACAATTGTGTGACAAAAAGATATATTAGGGTGAAATGTTTGAGGTGATAGTTGGTGGTAGTTGGTGGTAATATGTTGTAAGTAGTAAGAATCGTAATAAGTGTATAGGGTGATGTAGTAATGTTGTGTATGTGTATCTTGACTCTTCAGTCTATGTATGTTATCAAGATGACTGACCTCTTTTATCAAAGTTCAGCTGTATGTAGGTAGATATCGGTTGAAGAAAAAGAGGAGAGAAAAGGGAGATGGATGAGATGATTGGAAATTAGCGAGCCAGCGAGGCAGCGTGCCAGATAGACGGGACAAGAGAGAACCAAAAAGTAAAATAATGTGGGGGCTTGATAGTTCCCGAATAATCAAGATGCTTGGTATTTTTGATGGCTTGTCGTTGGTGGAGAATGGTGGAATTGCTTGAATTTTGTTTGGATACCGTGGATATTGTTAAATGTGTGAAATGTATCCATCGAGGTGGTGGTTCCAAAGGAATGGGATGGTAAATAAGATGATGATGAGTAGAATGAATATTAAAAGTAATGAAATGAGATGCGATGAGATGCAATAAGATGAGATGAGATGAGTTGAGATTTCGAATAAGAATAAGAATGTTTTAAAGAAGTTGAAATCAAAACTATGGCGAGGTTGACTTCAAGAATGTGAATGTGACTGTGATGGTATAAGTAGGTAGTCTAAGTTCTTGAGCCTTTCCTTGCTGACATACCCTCCTTGTACAACTCAAAAGAAAAAAAGATATTCGAGGGTTCACGAGTGATGTGTGAGTACTCGTATTTCAATCAGGTGAAGGTGGTCTCGAATTGGAATTTGGATTTGTATGATTTATAACAAAAGTTATACAATTAACCACTTCTTGAACTCCACTTCTCATAAGATTGTAATTCTGACACGTATCAAAGATTCGAAAGGAGGAGTATTTTGAGTTTTGAGGGAAAAAGAGTTGATAATGTACTTATGATTACTTTAGGTCTGGTTTGAAGTTTTTGTTGATATGCAACAATGAGGTGTAAAGTAATATCATTCGAGCCAGTTATTCGATGAGGTTTTTTTGTTGTTTTTTTTTTAACAAAAAAAAACAGTTCTATTTTAGAAGAGGGGGTAGGATTGATTTGAAGGATGATTCAGAAGGATAATAATATTTCATCATTCAAGGGTTCCAGGCCAAAAAGGTTCATGTCCGTACTATGTATGATTAAACTTATTAGAGGAATAACCTCAAAATATGTTACTTTATCGCAGGGTATATTTTCACTTTTCGTAGGGTTGGAAAACTTTAATCTATCCCTATTGTACAATGTCAAGTTGAAATGCCTCCTCCTTTTCCCCACTCACTTACCATATAAGATGAGTTTTGAAGGATGACTAGAGGAATGACTAGAGGAGTAACCTCACTATTGGAACCTCTGGATGAATGAGTATGGTCAAATTGTACAATTTTAGTATATATCCGTGTTCCTTTATGGATCAAAATACTGGGGTACTTTTTTTTTAACTATTCATAGATTTTCGGATGTAGTTTCTTGAGAGGTTATTAGATATCAAACAGAATGGAAATACTCGGATTTCTAGGAATCCCCCGATTCCCCGAATCTTCAAATCGAATATCAGATCTACAACGGTAAACAGATACCGAATGGAGTCAAACATCCACCAAAAAAATGATGAAAAGATATATTCATTACAATCTTCACATCCATAGATACCTCGGTAGGAGTAGATTTCATATGACAATGATAGATGATATCTACTATCTAAAGAGTCGAGTTCGGTGATAGGTGATATTCCCCAGGGTATTTTGATCAATGAACGGTGTTTTTGTTATGGGTCAAACTCGGTCGAGACTCGAGAACCATGAAGATCTTTACATACATATGATGATTGGGTAAAATATTCTTTGTTTGTTAATCGCCGTGTCTTCCGGTTTTTTTTTTGATATCTGATCAAATTTACAAAGTATATAGTAAGTAGTATATAATTACGATAATCAAGATTAAACTCATTCGGCTATCCCCCCTTCATTGATCGCGAAAATCTTAAGACAAGACAACCAAGATGGTTCTTAATAACCCAAGCCTCCCCCCCTCAAAATCCCATCGAATTATTCTTCTCGGTTCGTATCTTCAACAATCGAATCACCAATTATAAATATCATGAACGCGCTCAGAAAATCTTAACATCGGAGCACCATTACTCATTTCATATGTGAAAGGTAGGGTAACTTTTTTTGGTACCCGTTACATCTACCTATTGACCGCGCGGAACCATCAAGTAGGTAAGTCAAGGATAAATAGGTAGAATGATACTATTCGGAATTTAGTTAAACAAGTCTGCACCTACTGACCCATGAATTGAAAATATCCCAGTCAATGGGTGGTGTGGAGTTCAAGGAAGAGATGTGATGATTTGGGAAATTGATGATTTACGCGTCGACCATCGACGACAAGGAGACGGACTTCGTTTCAAATAATTTCTTCTTTTCACTGCCTCCTTATTCACATACATACCTCGATACTCCATACATCACATACTTCAAGAGATCAGACAATCACAATATCATGAAACCCAACCCCCCCAAACGGAAGAAAAGAAAGAAGAATATATATATATCACAGACTGACATCACTCAAAGTATAAAAAATGGAAATCCCCTCATGATTAGGAAAATCATTTCTAGGGATCGATATCCTCCTTCCACCCATCAGGGATTTCAGAATTTACCTGTTCACGGCTTTGCATACGGCACGACCATCCCGTTCATCCCGCCATCCCATCCCATTCTATAAGTTTCAACCCAATAAACGGTAAAAAGCAAGATCCTCTCAAGACCCTCCCTTCTCCTGGAAATCCCCGAATAATTGTCAAATGGAACGAGCGCTGATTTGATCGACCTTAAAACCCCACTCAATCAGATCCATAATCGGATAGTGAAGGGGTGTCACACATCCAAAAGTAAACATTATATTACCAGTGTGGCACTGTCAAAAAAATATCAAAATTATCCATTATGATTTGATACCCAAAAACCAAACCAGTCATCACTTTCTTTGTCATAATCAGCCGGTACTTGAGTTGGTTTTTGGTGCCTTGCCATGGCATTGGTATTTTTCCCAAGAAATCCAGATGTGTACTCCGGTAATATTTTGGAATGGTCTTGGCTTTTTTTTACCCTGCATTTAACCTAGATATGGTTTGAGGGGTGATTTTGGTGTGGATGAAATGAACGAATGAGGTGAGAGCTTTCGTATTTTACGACGCGCATGATTCTATTGGTCAGTTGTTCTTCCTTGGACTTTTTGGATTTACGGAATGGAGGGAAGTAAGGTTACTCGGTATGGAATAATAATAGCTAAGGCATTCTTTAATGTCTAGGTAGGTAGATAGAATCCTAAGAAAAGTTATGGCAGATGAAGTCTAATTGTTTGCCGAAATATATACCATTGAGTAGGTAAATGGTTTCACTTCATTCAATCACATTACAAAAACTAATAAAATATACAGTGTCATGTCCGGTGTACCAAGCCCTTTCTCCTCTTTCTTCAGCATATCAGCATACCTTAGTCTAAGCATTACAAGGCATCACAAACGTCTATGTATGTATCAACGTAATTGTACCACACTCCAGCCAGCCAGTCAGCCTAGGTACACACTTACACACATAGAGCCATAAATACACCCATACATACTCCGTGAACATACATCCATCATGCATCCAAGTTCCAACACAACATACCTACAGATTAAAATCATGCTACCATCCTCGGCCTCCTGGAGGTAAGTAATCCGGACCCATCCATTCCAAATAAACATTTATATAAATTAACCCCATCTGCACGCCAACACATTTCCAGAAATTCTCGCACACCAATGCCATGCGGTATGAAGTCGCAGCATTGCAGGAAACGGTATCACAATGGAACATGAGTGCATGAAAATACATTATATCCGTGTACGGAGCATGTACATAAATTAATTCCATCACACACATACCAGAATCTCAGGAGGGGCTAGATTGTAATCGATATCCGAACTTTGGATTGGTTAAAGTACGTTGGGAGGGGGGATGTAACGTGAGGTTTTGGGAATGTTCAGTCGTTGGTTGAATCATGATTGATGAGGTGTGGTAGTCGTACTGATTGACAGAGTACGCAAACATAACACGAATCGAAAGGGGTGAAAACACGAGGATGGTGATACGATGCGATACGGTTCGATACGATGCATTAACATACGCAGCACATCCCATCACAGTAAAGAGAAACCAGCTATCATTTCCCCGATTGAATGAATGGGAAATCTTCCTGTTGTACAGATAGTACAGACTATACAGTATATTGATTGTAGTGACTTACTTGCTTGCTTGTTTGTTTGCTTGCTGGCTACGGAATAACATCGCGCAAACATTGTACTCGCATCACCCAAATCAAGCTTTCAAAATAACATATCCATGTGGTGAGTTGTAACCGG